GGGCTCAACAATTCACAAGCAATTTCACTAATCGTCGAGTTAGGGCCACATAGACAAGACAAAAGACTTTTCAACTTTGCGTCATCTTATACACCACAACAGCACATTCTGTCTCACTCTGCCCTCCAGCAGCCCTCATCCCTGCTGTCGGTGAGCTGCTGCCTTGTGAAGCGAACCTGGTCTCCCAGTCCCATTGCAGGAGAACGGGAAAGAGGAAGCCAAAAACTACCTTCGGAAATGCGCCGACATCCTGTTGTTGGGTTTGTGGCAGACACACAAAGGATGTAATCCCCCTAAACTTTACAAATCAAAAGAGTGAGAAAGGAGAAACTACAATACCATGGTGACACATTTAAAAGTGCTTTCATTCACCTGTTCATCTTCTTCCCTGATTAAATTACAGTTGCTGGTTACTGTGCCTTTTTAAAGACTTTGTAGTCCATATTCAGACAGGTTATATTCTTGCCAAACACTCTACCAGAGTGTTGGTTGAGCTGCCACAAGTGAGGCACTATACTAAAGGCATATCAGACCGTAACAAGCAAGGGACGAAATTGTTAGTAGCTGCTCCGGCAGCCTGTTGCACCAACCGTGTATAAGTTCAAACGTAGCGTAGTTAGAACAAAAAGTATTACTAAGTTGTGATATATGAATTACTAAAATAAAAGTAGTTGCAGCATGGAGATAAGTTACAACATAAATCTGAGTAACAACTAAATAGTTACACATGCCCCAGGGTAGGTGTAAATCATGAAGTGTCACAGAATTATATACTTGCTTATGGTAAAACAGCGTTTTTTCTGCTACACAGCATTATTTTTCATTAATGACATGTCATCACAGTAATCCAAGTAGATGCCCAATTTATTGATATGATATTTAAATATCGATTCCAAGTGTCTCAAGCCAGCCAAAAAGCTAATGCGCACGGTAACCATGATAATGGAACTCTTATCTTTGATTGGTGATTGGCCACTTGCCTCAGTTATGACTTTACATCTAAACTAGTGAGTTTCTGACCCAAGTAATCGTGGTGCAATTTTTAGTAGCTGATTCAGTTACAAACTAACTAGTAGTTACTAAGCCTCTGGTGTTACACAATAACTTGCTGTCATGTAAACCGCACTTGCTGTTACCACAGTAACCCCATGTGTTGCCAAATCAACCAGGACAGAAATCTTAAGGATTAAAACTTTAAATCTTTTGTTTGGTTTAAATAAATAAGTCTTGATTGAACAATAAGGCTGCAGGTTGACTGGTTAGTCAGAGTGTCAGTGCTTGGACTGTTACTGTGCTCCAAGTATTAGTCAGGCCCTTCCAAATACAAACAAAATTCTAGCAAGAAGTTTAGATTTTAGGAGCCTTTGACCAAAGAATGATAGCATGCTAAATCGTAATGTAATCAGATAACTCCTGAACACTATCCATAGTCACTGTGCTCTTGATCTGTTGTCTCCCCCTCAGGCATCAGCTCGTGATTTATGTCGGTCCAGGTTGTACCAGCTATTGGCTCATCACTGACACTCCAAGAACCCAGCCTACCTCTTGACTCATTCACTTCTTCTTCAGTTAGTGCTTTCCAGCATTTCCCGAGAATGACTTTCAACCGAGTATGAGCTGAAACATGTTCAATTCTGCTGTTTTCATGTGTAGGTGGAGAGCATCAGCGACAGAGACAGACATAGTAAGAGCAAAGGGTTGGCTTATTCCCAATCGAGCTGAAGTGTGAGTTGTACCCCTTTAATGAACATGAAATATGATTTGTTGTTTGAATATGGACTATTGAGGCTACTCGTGGGTGGAAAAACTACTGTCTCCTACAACTACAAATTTCTTCGTAACATTTTTCCAAATTAGTAACTTCAGAAAGAAGCCCATGTAGTGTGAGTGTGTGGAACTGCAAATGTTTTAGAGATTTTTTTTTGCTGTAGAACTCCATTATAGCTGCCCTGGAAATATACCAACATAATGATGTTACATCATCTATATTCCTGCCATTTTCTGCAAGAGTCAGTAAAATCTACCACCAAATAAATATGTATCCAGAGTTCCATTGACATCTGCTTCTAAAAACATTTTAACTGTGGCCATCATTAGGCAGTCAGTAATTATATGTATGGATGGATAGAGCTAAACTGTCACAGCTTGAAAACAACTTGACAGTCTGTGCAATGCATAAAGAGTATGTATTTCCTATTCCCAACGTCACGCAATTGTAAGCTCACAGGCAAACCCAGGATGTTCAAATGAAGTTAAGTTATTTTCTTGTCTATAAGTACTTGTGCTTGCTGCTTTGTTTGTGTGGGACTCACTCAACCCTAGGGGCTTGCTGCAATTTACAGATTTCCTGAAATGCTAAATCGCGGAAAGTGTCAGACGGTCAGCAGAATCTGTGGTGCATTTATTACATAACAGCATCTCACACTATGTTCCCTACCTGTCTGAGAGAATGGAGCCCTCGAGAACAGTTCAAAATGCCAAGCAGCCGTCTAGAAGAAGCACGGCACACACGAGCATCACATAATGCTCTCCTAACTACCCCTGTCTCATCCCAACGCAATCCTAACTGACTGGAAACAAGCCACAACACACAGAGCTAAAGCGATCGCTGCGCCAATGAACATCATTTTCAGGAGCTGTTTAGAACTCAAGTGGTTGCATTGTTGAGTGTTGGGTGTGAACACCACCGTCCCCTCAAACCCCCTGCACCACATACAAATAGTACACCTGGCAACCAGCACCACCCTGAGCACTTACTCACAACACCCTGCTGAAAGACATTTAAGCTGTTGCGTAATCCTTGGCAACCTGACTCCACAAAGGCAGACTACAATCCCTAGAGTCAGATTACACCAAAATGTCTTCGTTAGACGTATAAATGTTACAGGATTAAAGGAGTGATTTAACAAATGCAGTCTCTTTAGAAACGCCACTTACCTAACCACTGAGGTTTCACATTTGGTGTCGTCCTGCCCTCACAAGCCCTCCTCAATTCACTGAAACCGATCTAATAAGACTTAAGTAATGAGGAACTGACAGTAATTCAGTTTTAATTACTGGTTAAGTGTACTTAAACAAAATGGGTGTCACATTTCTAGATCAACGCCGTCTCAGGCTGACTAATCTCCTCAACGTAGGTGCTGCTGTGTGATCTACAGTAGAGCTGACCAGAGTTAGACTCTCACAGAGGCAGGTAGCCTCCTCAGGAGCTGGAAATTTACCTTAGACTGATCCAGGCCTGGAAAACCAAAGCGCTTCCTTGTGTATTCCCCAAACCCACTTGTGTGATTGCAACAGAATGTAAAATGGCATACTACCAATCAAAGCACACAAAGTATATAGTACATACAGCAGGCAAGGTGTCACCTGTATTATTTTCATGCACTCAGTTCTAATAATCCATCACCAAGGCATAAAACTACAAACGTGATGAGGTGCTTTGTTTTAGCGGAGCACTGTTAAGCACTGTAAAGATTGCTAAAACCCATAGCTGGGTCGATGTAAAACAAGTCCAGCCTCAGACTTCCCTGCAATCAGAAACTCTCTTAGGTTTACCAGAGTGCCGTATCATCACTATCACAATAACACATTCAGCAGGGATCTTTATCAACACGCAGCAGTAATATTATTCAGACCCACGAAAGGCTTATTAACTTCACTGCGAGAGGGGAATGTCCTGTGCGGGGCACACATCACATCAAAACAATCACGGGCCCTCGTCGTCTATATAAAGCACCCTACATATGTGCATGCCTATGTAACGTATGCGTTTCAACATACTTTTTTTTACCCTGACTGTCGACCGGATTGGCATGCCGAGTTCTGGGCATCATGACCTCATTCCTTCTCCCTTTCAAGTTAACTCATCTCCGCTCTCTGAGGAATGTGTTGCTGTTTTGTATGGAACATCTTTCTCTTGTTTTGAACAGCAGCAGCAGCGAGTAGTGGCTTGATGCACTTACTCCCCCGATGGAAATCGGGCTCTTTCTGAGGGGAATGGAACAAAGTGCATCACAACGTCGTCGCCTGTGAAACCACATGCGGGAAATACAACATTCCCTAAATGTGTGTTCTTGTGTGTGTGTGTGCATGAGAGGAAGAGTAAGTGCGTGGCTCCTGTAATATGGCTCCTAAAGCATGACATTGGAGAGAGAATCAATAGCACACAGTGAGAGTTAAAAGCAAAGGTTTGCAACAGGATGGACCTCCATATGTTGAATGTATTTCATGAAGCTGGCACAGGGACTAAACTAGGCACATTTAAAACACACCATAAGGAAGTGAACCAGTTTTCCCCCCTAGGCTACATATTGACATCTTCACAGGATACTGATGATATTTGAAAGGGACAGATAAAGTGAGATGGGAACACCGTGTACAGGCAGGATAGACATTAGACGCCTCACAGCCTTGACCAGTGCTGGCTGCAGAACGCTCTGTTTGTCTAGTAGCCTGGTTTCATAGCCATGCCTATAATCTGACTCTACCCTGAGGTGGACCTGCTGCTTAAAATGGAAATAGCAGGGCGCCAAGTGACCTTTCAGAGCTCATTGGAGCCATTCACTCTGAGCGTGTTGTGCTTGGAGTTCAGTTCAGTTCAATACCCATGCTGCTGCAAATATGTTTCAAAGGCTGTGGTGAACAACAACTACAGCAACTCTGGTCAAGTGTCAGCAACACACACACACACAACGTCACTGATGTAATTTTGAAGCAGCTACCTGCAGCCTACCTTTGTCATCTATTTTTACTGAAGTTGTTTGCTCCAAAATAGGCCAGCAGAGAGGTAAAAGGCTTCACACTTATAGTTAAGACGTCACCACTGATATCCCTAACAGTCGACCGGCTGTGATCCAAGTGGCCTACAAAACATACTGCTATAAAAACGAGGAAACTGCGAAAATAAAATGCGACAGCAGCTTCTAAACGACACTGAGAGAGCATCAGCTGCTGGAGCGCACACCATGTCTTACACTCAATAAAAGCACAAAACACCGTACCTGGCTTTCTGGGATAACGCCGTCTTGATGGTGTAACCTCAGGAAAAGGTTGAGAAGATGATCTCCTGAATTGGATTAACGAAGTGGCGGCCAACCAGTCAGGCGGAGGAGAAGCAGAAGGAGGAGGAAGAGGAGAATATATCTGAAGGGATGATGCCCGTGTTCATTATTACGAGTCCCTCCAACGTCGGGGTGGAAACATTTGACCCGCTACTGCGCCCGAGATCAGGCCCTGGTGAAACACGAACACCAACAACCATCGGCGAAAATTAAAAAAGAACAGCGCAGATAAATAAGCAAACCACTGGGAAGCATAAGCTGCAGCTGACAGTCTGTTTTGCTTGACAGCAGGACTGTTTGTACACCGGAACAGCGGTCAGCAACGAGTGCGCAACGTCCAGCCGTCAGCCCGCCACACAGATCCTGCGAAAAGCAAGAGGCTATCTTGTTGCAAAGGAATCCGGGGGCGGTGTGTTTACCTCTCCGCCGTCCCTGCTGTCGTGCTTGGTGGGAAATCAGCTGCTTCGCACAGGAGAGACGCCATTTGTGTGTGAGAGGCTTCCCGTCTGCCGCTTTAAGGAGAGCTCAGCACTCCCCACTTTTTGACAAACGACAGCGCCCCTTATTGTCAAAACACTGCAATCGCCCGAGAGTCTGTTCTAATGAAAAACATGTTTTCTTATCTCCCTCTAGTGGTAGCCTGTCTAGCCATGCAGATATCTTGTTTATCTTGTGCCAGCACCTTTAGGGTAGCCTTGCTTTGGCCATAATGGAAGAAATGTTGACATGTCATTATAATGTAGGATAGTGGTATCTAGCCATGCAGATGTCCAGGTTTTGAGATGGACAAATAATACTAAGCCGCAATTTTCAATGTGAGCACCAAAAACTACATTTCATTTGCCTATACTTTATTGGGATGGAGACAGAGAGACGGGGGGGGGGTCTAGTTTCATTATTATTAAGTTTCATTTTTATTTCATTCAAATAATCTCCCAGTTGCAAGACTGAATTGAAACCTTTGTGAAACCTCATGTGAAAACGTTTGAGCAATATATTAGAATGTTGTCAATAAACCCAAACCAAAAATAGTTTTGGGTTTTTGACGACATTGTAATATAGAAAGCAATATGTCAGACATTTTCAGGGACAGAACGATAAAAATCCTGGACTTCCATTGTTGTCCTGTTGAACACAGTCCACCAACCTTTATTAATTATTATTGCCACAGTTAAAGTTTAACTAAAAAAAAAATAATAAAAGACATTTAATGCACTACATTTGAAACAAATATCAAAGTGCTACAGGTAAAATCATAAAAGCAGTGAACATAGTGCAACGAGTCAACTCTCAAGATTAATTAAAACTCATACGTTCTGCTCAAAACCTTATATTCAATCTTAAGGCATACTTCCATACAAAATGTCCATTTACCAACCAAGCAGAACAATAGAATGTACTGAACTGTGAACAGTAGAGACTTATCCCCAACAGTATAACAGGACAGGCCAGTCTGCTCAGTTTAGCAAGGATTAAAATGTCCACATAATAGCATGGCAAGACCAGTATGGCCAGTTTCTGCTCTATTACGCAGTTCAAATCAGTATTTTATTGATAGGCTATATTTAAATTATAGCACCCTGTTTTATATCCAGCATGTCTTATCTGTTATGATTATTATTACTGGGAATGTTTTTCCATTATATTTTTGTGTTATTTTAATTGTCTGATTGTATTTGCCTCATTGCAGTTGTGAAATTTTTTAATCATTGTTCCACCATGTAAAGCTTGTTGTATCTTTGTTTTGGTTGGTTAAACAATTTGACATTGAGTCTAACATATCTTAACACTGTAAAGCTGATGATACACGGAGCAACTTTTAGAGCAATGGTGCTGGGCAATGTTGCCGTCAGTGGTAATGAGTAAAGATTACTACAGTAATCCCCTTCCCCCATCACTCCGCCACCCTCCCCGCACCACCGGTATCCATTCAAAACATAGTCGGACTTGCCACCAGCAAGATTGCCCAGCAACATTGCTCAAAGAGTTGCCCCGTGTATCATCAGCTTAAGTATAAACACATTAAGTTATAAAAGTAACAGATACAAATAAAGATAAAAACATTCATGTTGTACATTTACATATACATCTGTGCAATCACTCAACAACGGTAAATTTAAATGGTTGCAGATTTTCACCACTCCAGTTTCATGTCGGCTTTGCTCCACACATATTTCCCTCCTCTCTTTAGAAACATCTTTTCATCAAATCCACTGAAGCAAATGGCTTCCTTCACACCAACATCGAGGACAGACTTGGACGGGTCCTTCCTTCCCTCTCGACAGTCCAGGAAACGCATCTGCAAAAATGAAGAAAGACTATATCAGCTACACATTTAAATGCTCACCAGATGTGGTAAGTTAGCTTTGAATTCAGAATTAAGGCAAACTTGAGCATTTCAACTCCATTTAAGCAATCATCATTTAATCCCTCCTAACTGCCCCAAACTTGGAAGGGAAGTGCTTTTGCTTCAACATCTAACAAAAAATAAAAACTTTGGCTGTGTCCGAAATCACCCACTACTCGCCATTTTGTTGTGCTGTCCGAATGTATAGTGATAATTATTATACCCTATATAGTCCACTCAATGTATCCCAGAACGCTGATAGAAAAAACTGATTGTCCGACGGCAATGACATAATTAATGGCGCTGAAATAACGATCGGAGTAGTGTCCGAAAGTGTTGTTTTAATAATGCGAGTGAGCTCACTATATAGTGCTGTAGTGAACAACGGTGTGGATTTGTGCATTTTGTATTGAATAAATTTGGAACTACTCCAAATTCCTTTTTTTTCTCCCACAGAGGAGCAGGGGGTCAAAGTTGCTTCTTCTAAGTGCTATCCCTGACCATAAAACTGGCACCCTTTTGATTCCGAAGCTGATAACGCGGGGCCTGACTGTTAAACTGACAAAGGGACACAAGCCAGCGATTAGCATTTCCCTGAACAGCCTATCAAAACTGGCCCCCCACACATGTTTCCATGGCAACTGACCTTGCTCTTTGTTTATTATCCCATCAAAGGGATACTCCTTGTCTCACCTAAGTGTGACATAATCCAGGACAGCCGAACTTTGGATGACCAAGGACTGCAGTCTCCAAAGACTCAATGTGACAATTGTTTCCTGTTACCAAATGCTTAACTTAGAACAGTACAACCGTTTGACCATTGAGGTTTGATTGTGGAAAATATTTGATTATAATACACGCAAATAGATCTCTTTTCTTTTATACCTTAAGTTTAGAAAGGCAGTCCCTTGGGAAACCTGAAACGCCCCCTGGGGAACCACGCCCCAGGCAACAAAAGAGCGACACGCGTTCTCTCTTTCTTCGCTCTTCTCTCTGGACGCTTCGGCGCGCGTCGGCGTGCCTCGCCAGGAAACGCCCAAGAGTCGGCCAGCGAGACAGGCCTTTTGTTCGCCTGAAGCTACACACGTGAAGTGCCGCGACATCGATCTGCCCTCAGTTTGTTTTATTTTCTTTATTTGTTTTGTTGAAGTTATGAGTCCGTTAAGTTACACTGAACTAATTCAGGAACGACCAAGTTCCATTTTAAGCCTTTTTCGTCGAGCCAATTTCACCGAGGTCAGACCAAGCCACGTGGGCTCGCCAGCTACAACAAAGGAAACCTGAAAACAGTCTAATTGCCAGACGGAGGACGTTCTTTTCAATCAGACACGGAGAACCCCGGAGAATCCCTAGCAAAAAGCCAGGATCGGGCAGCTAGTGGGACCTGTGCAACAGGCCAAAAGCAGGCTGTTGACAAGCAGTAAGACCAAACAAAGCATTCTGTGATCAGATATGTCCTTTTTAACTCCTAAACTCATAGCGTTAGCTTACTTTCATTAGTTCTTCTATGCCGTATGAGTCAAATGCTTCCCACAATCGAACCTCCATTTATAATTAATATTTTATTTTATATTAATTTATATTAATAAATTCACTGTAATATAATCAAGAACTGTGTGTGTTGCCTGTTTCTACGTCCCTGCCAAGAGAATTGACCCTTTAGATATGAGACTGACTGATTGATTTAAGATAATTGAGCGATTATTAACTAACTGATTACTAGTAATAATTGTATAATTATTCAAAACGAGGAATAAAATTTGATTTTATGAATATTAAAATTCATAATTGGGTATCAATTCTCATAAATTTATTAAAATGCATAACTGAATTTAGGTTTGCTACAGTGCTCTACATACAACTCCCTACATAGGGGGTAGGGAGCAGTGAATGAGCGGGGATTTCGGACACAGCCTTAGTTTTAGCAAACTTGATGGCCTGTTCACACTTAAAGGGGCATTATGGAGTTTCCAGCAGCCACTAGCGGTGCGGTTCTAAGAGTGCAACCAGGTGTGTGCTTGTATGCGTGCTCACAGTCATGAGCGAGCATAATCCGAAACACAACCACTTTCATATAGAAATACCACAATAAATGCAGGAACACCAGCATGCAGGCTGTGGCTTTTCTCCAGACATGTTCAGGCCATAGGTTCCTCTGTGTTGTTGTGACTGTTTTGTTGCAGTGTTTTATGTTATGTGGGTCACATTAGTTGCAGCGACTGAGAGGTGGAGAAGCTGTGTATCTGAGTATTGCTAAAACCACAATAAACATAAACTGAATGTGACGAAGAAAACAGCGGCAGGTCCGAGCTACTGTAGCGTTAGCTGGCTGCATCGCCATAGGCTACCTTGAGTAAACAAATCGCTCCACATTTGCTTTTTGCCATTACATCCTTTCTTGCAAGCTAAATCAACAGTGGTACAAAGGATAGTAACATGGGTAGCGTTAGTTGGTGAAGTAATGTGGAAAGCATATAACTTTGCACCGGACAACATTTGCAACTGCTCGCCGTTAGCCTGCGAGCTAACGTGACTTTCTCTGTGTTTCTCCAGCTTTACTAATGCTCACTTTGTTCTTACTCGATATCATCTATACCTCTTTGGTTTGATGGGCTTCAACACATACGCCTTTATTGTTGTTTTGTATCCTTACGTTATGGTGTTAGTGGACTGCATGTCGTTAGCTGCCGTGTTGTCGCTGTAGTCAGAGAGAGGCTCGGGAGCGCGCACAGGGCTGAATCCAACCCGGAGACCTCATGTTAAAAGCAGAATTGTGGCTGATGCAAGCAACGCAGAAATGAAGCGCGTGCTTCATTTCTAAGTGAGTTTTGAGCCCATTGATAATAAGGCAATGACAATTTTATTTATTAAAATCAAAAACTTACATATAGCCCCTTTAACAGTTTCATTAAGGGAAGACTCAAATGACCTGTAGAAGCAACAATCTCAAGAGGAGTGTGTTTATTCCAAAACCAAAATAATGCACTTACATATTCATCCAGGATCAGGTAGGAATTCCTCATCTGTGAACACACCATAGTTCAGTTTTGTTATTCTTGGGCCTGGCATCTGATTCCCAACATAGTCACATTATTTACTTAGCTGACAACACTGCTGATATTGCTCCACTCCCAATAGAAAATGTCCCACTATTATTACTGACAAGACGCAGGATGAATGTAGCTCTGCCATGGTACATTGTGGTTGGGCCTTCGTCCAATGATTATGGCTGACCTGCTACTATCCTTCTGGTTGTTTGTTTGTTTGATCAATCAACTTTGAACATGAGCTGTCCTCACTTATTCGAAAATACATGTTTCTGAGTGTGTGGGTAGACGTTTGTGACCTTCAACACACCTTTGTACTGTCATATTTGTTGCCACTGTTAACAATCTCATACCTTCTCATTGGACTCCGGAACAAGGCAGGGGACGCTGCTGTGTCTATCCAGAAACTCCTCAAACTGTTGATCACTGATGACGAACCTCTCTGCCTCTCTCAGGGCCTTCTCTCCTGCATTTTCCCCGTCAATCAACAGACACTGGAATACCTGAACACAGGGAGCAGCACACACAGAGAGGGTGTGTGTGTGTGTGTGTGTGTCAGGAGACACACACACACACACACACACACACACACACACACACTCCCCCTTTCCACTGTTACCTTCCAGCGGACTGGGTTAAGCTGGGTGATGGCCTCAGTCATGTCTTCTTCCACGTTGAAGGTGTTGATGACCGAGTTGATCTTGAATGCCACTTTGTACTGCAGGCACCAGTTGCGAATCTTGTGAAGGTTGTCGACGTGGCTCTTTCTGCCCTGAGCTCTTCCAATCAGCTGGTTGGTTGCCTCATCAAAACTGTCACAGGAGATGGCCAGGATATCCAGATAGTCACCTGGTGGAGAGACAGAGAGAGAGAGCATTTTTCTTCTTCTTAGACTAAACATATGCTCCCAACCAGTGTATAATATGGTAAAAAACAAAACAATTTTGTCCAATTTGTCCTAAAAGTAGGGCTGGACAATATGGCCAAAAATATTATCACGATAAAAAGTTTCATATCTTTCGATATCAATAATTATCATGATAAATATAAAATCGTTATTTCTTTTGAGTTTACATTACACATCGATTTTAAAAGCTGATTTTTGCTCATGAGTGAAAGTTGAAGAATCCTGATGGTTAATTGTGTTTAAAACTCTTCTTTATGGTCAACACTTGAGGCCCAACAGTGGATCACGTCAGGTAGAGCATTCAAAACAATTATGATCTAATCTTTTTTCAATAACTATGCATGAGTAAAATTAAGTTAACTTTTTAACTTTTTTCAGTCCTTTTTCCTCAACAAAATAAACATCTTAATAAAAAAGTCCTAATTCGTGTATGATTCAAGTGAATAAGATCAAACATTTATTGATTACTATTTGTTATATTGTTATTGAAAAAAAAAATATTGCGATTGTTATTGTTTTATTGTGCAGCCCTACCTAAAAGTCAAAGAGTCTTACCATATTTCTGGAACCATGTTTCTTTGATCATGCTCCCATTGCTGACAATGCTGACACTTGGGAGCTGTAGGTCCAGTTTACAGAACTGAACTAATTTCCCCAGAAATTCTCCTTTTTCGTGCAAGAAGGGCTCTCCTCCCGAGAAGTTGATCTTTTCCATGCCTGATAAACAAAGACATCTATGAATGTAACTGCATGCAAGAGGTTTGATACAACACAAAAGACCAGAATATACCTATCTGTCAAACTTACCAGATTCCTTCAGAAGTTTGAGGCCCCTCTTGGCTTCCTCTAGAGGCAGGACAAAGGAGGTTTTTGCAGTGTGGAAACAAAATCCACATTTGTAATTACACTTGCGTGTGAAATGATAGTTGACACTTGTTGGAGTCGTGGCATTTTGGACTTTCCTTTGCTCCAGCTGGCAGTCAACAGGTGAAACAGGGGAGGTTGTCCCCTTGCAGCCTCCTGCTGTCCAGAAACAAACTATTGAAAAGACGCTCGCCATAATGCATTGCAGGGTGCTGATGCAGAGCTGCAGCACCAGCTTCGGAGACGCAACCACGGAGGAGAACTGCATCTTCAAAACGAGCTACTCTCACCTTCTCTGACAGATCTTATATACAGGGCTGCAGGGCGCAATTTAAGACGTGGTAAGGAAACTGATCAGCTGAGCAGCTGAGTTTCTGTTTACAAACATCGAAAACGAAACCGAGCAGGGTGAGTCACCTGAACACCCGCAGATGATAGAGCAATAAAATGTGATATGCTACACCTTCAGCTATTATACAAGGTAAAAATTACAAGGTTGTTTATTTTTCATTATACAGCACAAGGCTGCATAACGAAACGAAATTTGTTGTTCCTTCATCCACACACACACACAACATTTAATTAAGAAGGCTTATTTTAAAATATGGTAATATATAGGACTAAAATAAAACATTGGCCTATATACAGTTATATATATATACATATATAGCCTAGACCTTACATACACACCCTGGACATTCCACAGTGCATTTTTTGAATTTGCATCTGGGGTGAATGTAAACAGCAGCAACCAGATGGTAATATGAAAGTTTCATCTTCACAATAAACAGTCTAACATTTGGGAAACAGAGTCCATCTTGACTGCGTTTGTGTACCAAGCACCATCGATGTAAAACACAGAGTCCACCTCCTCTCATCTTGCCAGAGTCTTGCGCTGACAGCTCGGGAACATGGACCACCTGCCGAGTACTTGATCCGGTAGGTCTCTGTAAGGATGTGGACACAACTGTCTCTTAATTCCGTTGTTTGGTCAACATACAGACACAACAGTAAGAAAAATTAGGAACGTTGTGGGACGCGTATAGGGTATATAAGCTATGTGATTATATTTGTTATAGTAGATGCAATTAAATATGATGCTTATTGCATCAATGCTGTTGATGGCATTTAAAACGTGCACAGAAGAATAGCTTGCTTTGGTAAGCCAGTGGTTGCCTGTTGACGTCCTTTCTAGTTTTTTGTGCGTCTCCATCCTTGGCTTGTTTTGAGCACGTCTGCAAAAACAGTCTATATTAATTAGGCTACTGTCAATGAAAGCCACACACATTCATCTCCGTTTCCTTAGCCTAATGATTAGTAATTTCTTTTAGTAAGTTTATTTTTCTTTATGTACAGTAGGCTATAGATCCACAATTAACCACCCCAGCACCAATTACACTCAAGGCGAGGCACCTGTCACAATGATGTCAGAGACACCACCATACTATGACACAAGCAGCAACTATTTGCCCATATTCCTAGTGTCTTTCTCCCCCTTCTATTGGCTAAACATAACTTGGAGTCAACCAAATCATTTACAACTTGCGCAATGACTTTTGAGAGTGGTCGCAAAGTTTCGTTTAGCCTGTTCAGCGCGTTAACTTTCGTTTTCCCTGCAGCGGTCATCTTATGTAACGCCTCGCAGTGAGTATCATTAAAGCAGACTGGAAACTGATCAGACCGTCTCGCGTAACCGATGGCACGGCGCGCTATGTCTCTTCTTCCTCAGTGGTCCTCACGTATCTTTTCAGTGGAGCTGGATGGAGCACCCCTCTACTTTTCCATTCAGGAACAGCACCGTGGGGAAGAAGTACCGCGGGTGTTCAGAGAAGTCCGCAGCCATGGCCGGTGTTACTCTCTCCTCGTCTGCGGCGGCGACAGAATCAGACGAGCCAAGTTTTACGGGGAGCTGAAAGATAAATTGTTGAGAGACTTGCCTCCGGGGTGTGATTTGTCTCCCATGTCCTCATTTCTGCCAAATGTCAAGGACTCTCTCATCAAGGGGTACTTTTTAAAAGATAATTCAAAGAGTTCAGTCCCGTCTGAACGGCTTTTGCGAGATTTAATACAGCATGATCCAGTGCTTGTGTGTTCATACCTGAGAGGTAAGGACGACCAACTGTGGACTCAGCGTCTGTGGTCTCATGCAGACAGCCAAACCGTGGAAACGTCAGAGGAGTATTATGTGGTACCTTCAGAAGCGCCACAGTATCACCCATCTACTCTCAACATCATGAACTCTGATGTTTTCTACAGTTTTGATGAAGCATTTGACGTTCTAAAAAAGGTTCTTAAATTGTCATAATGATATGCACAGACCTGTTTTACAATCGCATAAACAATCACATAAATATTGTTTTAGTTGCAAGATATGGCAAAATGGCACCCTCATGTGGTAGCGGAAGGGATAGCAGTGTAAACCAAGTGGCTCACTTGATTCTTCCATGTATCTATCAGTGCCAGCTGGCCAACAGTAGTACGTTTGTTCATGTGCACCACTGCCTCCCTCCTGCCTCCTCTCACAGCAGCAGAATGATTGTGTCTGTTCTGCAGTGTGGTGACATCATCCCAGAGGCGACGTCTGTACTGGAGCTGCTGCCCAGCAGAGCGGAGGCCAGAAGTAAACCAGACTTCCCCGTTATTGTCATAGAGGGCCTGGATGCCACAGGTTAATGCCATTACCTCATAAATAAATATGGGACCAGCTTGATGTATAGATGTCTCGCTAAAATGATGGCCCATTCCCTGCTAAAGCCATTATCTGCCAGTGAGCTTAGCCTAATGGAATATCATGTATCATGACCTCAGGAAAGTTACATCACTGTAAAAATGGTTTATTGAAGAGCACGCTGATCTAATACTCTTTGCAAACCTCATGAAAACTGCAACCATGTAGGGTAGGATAGGAGTCTTGGGTCAGTCAACTTTTCAAGTCACTTCACTACCTTATTACATTTAAAACATATGATGAATTCTTCCTTATGCACTCTGAACACTAAGCCAGTCTTTATGTTTCTTTATTGTTTGTGAGGTGACTCTTTCCTCCCTCCTTCTTCCCGTCGCAGGTAAGACCACTCTGACTGAGTCTTTGAAGGATACTCTGGGGGCCGCCCTCCTGCGGTCCCCTCCCCAGTGCCTCTCCCCCCTGGAGGGCTTGCTTTGATCAGGAACCACCCCTCATCCGCAGGGCCTTCTATGCTCTTGGGAACTACATCACAGCAGAACAAATAGGCCAGGAGGGCATGAAGACACCTGTCATCGTTGACAGGTAAAGACAGCTGAGATGTCGCAGGTGTTGTGAAGTTTGCCTGTATTGTGACCTGTTTTGTGATAGAGGGGAAAATAGATGTATTTGGGATCTAGACCTAAAACTCAATATTTATATCTTATACTCTTGTGATGACCCATCCATCCATCCATCCATCCATCCATCCATCCATCCATCAATCACCTTTCAATCCACCATCCGTTATCTGTCCCCAAGATTCTGGCACAGCACAGCAGCTTATGCCATTGCCACAGCTGTGAGCGGTCCAGTGTGTAACCTTCCAGCGGAGGGTTCTGAGGTTTACCGTTGGCCCACTGACCTGCTCCAGCCCAGCCTGGTGGTCTTACTCACCCTGGACCCTGAAGAGAGGAAGAGGAGGCTGAGGGACAGAGGTCAAGGAAAGACTGAAGAGGAGCAAAAGCTGGACCACAACCATCTTTTCAGACTCAGGTGAGATATTTGAATGAGATGTATATAATGTACATGTTTGAGTTCAAAGGTGTACAATTAGGTATTTAAAAATCCAGGTTAGGGCTACTTATTTTCATTACCAATTAATCTGCTGCTTGCTTCTTTGATTAATTGATTCATCTTTTAGTCTAGAAAATTTTGAATTCCCATAAGAATTTCCCAGAAACCCAAGGTGAGGTCTTCAAAGTGCTTGTTATGTGAGTCCAACAGTCCAAAACCCAGAATGTTTTTATTTACAGTCATACAAAGCAGTGAAAAGCAATTCAAATCAGATTTGAGATTGAAGGACACATTTTTGCTTGATGTCTTAAACAATTAATCCATTATCAATATAGTTGGTATTTCATTTTCTGGAGAGCGACTTATCGATTAATAGACTTCCCGTTTCAGCCCAAATACTGGGATTACCTTTCTTAAAGCAAAGTGAAAAAAACTAGTAGTGGTTGAGATATTTTTTGTAATGCAAATAAACTACTTACAAGAAATTTCTTAACCTGTATTGTTCATAGTACCAGAGTTATCTGGCTCATTAGAAAATTCCTGAAACAAGTGAAATTGCAATAGAAACAACAATTTCATCAAACCTTTGTTTTAAGACTGAAAATCACTAAACCATATAAACTGAAGTCCTAAATAATTTTATAAGATGGCCATTTTTTTTAGGTGTACATTGTAACATTAATATAGTTCTCAAAATATAGGTGTTTGGGTTGGGATCGCACATTCTGTTAATCTGAATGAGGTCCAGTTTCATTGTCATAAATTGTAGAAAGAGACAGGGATACAGACAAACACAGTAGACACACTTAGCTATGTGACACATGTAGACAAATGTTCTACTGTCTGTGATTTTAAAAGTTTCCTCTGAGTGTGAAAACATGAAAACACAGATGGGGTACAAACTGTACCGCACATTTCACTGAGTCAGGTCAGCTCAGTCTGAGTCTGATCCATCAAACACTTAACAATCAATTACTGTCCCATGGGGGAAGCAGCTGATGAGAAAGAACAGGTGATTAGTTGCAGAGCTGTTGTGCTCCATTAAGCTGGTCAAAACTCGCAGGCATTGCCGGCCCAGTTAGTCGCTGCACAGACAGGTCGATGGCTACTTTCATTCATCCTCGATCCTGACATAATGGCCTTTCCACACGGGAAAGCCAGATGTTGGGCCAGCAGAATTAGAAAATGGAAGGAGTTGACTGTCTGCCACGGAGAGAGTGAGAGATTCTGCAGACTTGGTCGATCACGATCACAAGGACTATTCTTCATTCGTCTCAGGCTGTGTTGTTTCTCATATTAAATTTCTCAGATGTCCACACTGTGAGCAGTCAAAATACTCAGTTGTCCTGTAATGTAATATGAAGTGTCATTTGCTGTGTTTATGTGCTTATTTTCTGCACTTCAAGAGTGTATGTGTGTCCCTGCAGAGTGGAGGAGGCTTACCGGAGGATCATCGGCCCAGCTTGCGTCACTGTGGATGCTGGTCCTTCTGCGGACCAAGTGCTCCAGCAAGTGCAGCTTTTAATTAGGGGCAAATGCCACTTGTAAACAGTTCTCCATCTCCCTTGCTGTTGGCCAAGCGTCAAATGGATGCACTACCTCATTGCACCACTGGGTGCCAGTAAGGTGTTGTGAATGCAATAGAAGGAGGAACGGTGGCCAGATTGGAGTGTGGGGAAGAGATTCTATTCAGAATGAGTAAAGGTTGAATAGCCAGGGGCCAGAAGTGCATGCTACAATCAGAAATACATATTCATGTAGACACACACACACACACACACAAAAGCATTGTCAAGAAGAAGTGTGCATTTAACTGCTGTTGTGACCCTGAGAAATCAGACAGTGTAGCCTTAAGACACAGTGTAGCAGCACTTATTGACAACCACTCGTATGTGGACAGACACTGAGGAAATGGATAGAAACATTTATATAAGCACCAGTCGGTTAGATTTGAGTTCAAATTAACAGTCCGATAAAATTCATTTTATTTGTTAAAAACATGTTTCAAATTAAAAGACAATTACGCCAAATATCTGTTATGAGGTCTCTTCTTGAGTGATTATGTCTTACATAAGACTGCTATACAAACTGTATGTTCTAGTATGTCTGCATTATAGCATGCTTATATATGTGCATATTAACTTTCTGCTTTTTACATAAAAAGAGTCCCTTTTGCAGTGCACGGTAGATGCCAATTCCCTTTAGTTCAACTGTGGGATATTGACACAACTGATGCCACTTGTATTGATAACCTGTGCGGCTCACAGTGACGCAATGGAGTATATGCTGGTGACATACTGTGCTGTTTGTACTTGATGTTCTCATGGGCACAGGCACTCACACGTGTGCACATGCAAACCTATTTGTGTAAACACACACAAGCCTGGACATTTTCTAAGAGCATATACTGTAACTCATTTATATATGGAGGAAATGTATATTTGGCCTATGTGATGGGAAGATTAAGTGGAGGTTTTAGTAATTATGAGCTTGGCAAAGCTGCGGGCTGGAGAAGACAGAGTGACCCATCTCTTTTACTGTGATGCATCAGCAGAGCGCCAACCACTGCAGACCCTATTCATATGGCAATTAATGGAGCGCTGTATATCAATGTCATTCCAGTGCTCCCCCACATAAGTGCATGGATTACTCCTACTACCAATTACAGCAATCCAATGTTTTACTGAGTGGAGAGTTGCTGTGGATGCAAATCATACCATCAAATGTAATCAAATAAACTAAAATAAGGTGTCATTATGTTTATGGTGTATGGATTCCTACATGAGGTAAGTATCCCAGAACATTTTATTGAATTCATAAGCCCTCAGCTGCCTGGTGATGCTGTGGATGACACAATGAATGTAGCCCAGACCTGTGTGGAATTTTGATTGCCATTGACACAGTAGCCTCTGTCTCAAGAGAGCCTGAAATTTATGAAGTAGGAGAGCAAAGCAATTAGGCATTACACCATACATCATACCTGAATGCAAAGTTGTGTGTGCCTACGGTGTGAGCCATATTTCCATGTCAGATGTTGTTACGCTTTGTTATTCTTGGCAACAAAAAGTGAATGGTGATATCATGCAATTACTGCCCCTTCAACACGACTGTAATATGACATTAATGGCCCATAATCACAGTACATTACACATGCACTGAAATAATTCTCTTTGCATTTGTTATTAGTGTTTTTCCTCGTTGAAACATTAAGGATTTGTTCGGTTGTTTTTGTCAGATAGCCAGGATACACTCTGAGGTCTTAACAATAACAACAAGTCACACATTCACAAATTGAATGTTTGTGTTTTGAAGTTCAACTGTGGTTTGTGGAAAAACTAATGCAATCTGCTTCCAATCTGTGACCTCACTACTGAAGTTGCAAGATAAAAGTCCAAACCACATTTATGGAAAAGATCAGTCTTGAGAACAGCAGGAGGAGCTCAGGCTTGCACACATATACACACACACACACACACACACACACATGTCCGTACTGTATACACAAATATACAGTACCACTACACACACAAAAAGTAGCAGACAAGTGCACACGCACGCACAAACACACCCCTCACCCTGTATGGGGCCACTTTGCACTACACTCCTCAACTTCAATATTTCATCTGCACAACAGAGAAGGAGCAGCAGAGAGGAGGAAAGCCCTCCATGAAATAATTAAAGATCCAGCAGGGATGCAGCAGCACAGCAGCCGCCGTCCCATCCTAAGTAATAGATCAAATGAAAGCTGTCCCTCAGATCATTAATAATGAGTGTGGTATGGAGACTTGAGGGGGTAGGGGTGGGAGGGCATAGGGCTGGTACAGGTTGGGGGAGGGAGAAAGGGCATCGGGGAAGCACAAGGTGTTTTTATGTATGTATGTATGTGCATGTGTGTATTAGTGTGGTAGGGTTGGGGGTGGGGTGGTGGGTTGGAATAGTAGTCTGGGACGCCTGGCAAAAACCCCAGTGGGCCTCACTTGGCAGCCACATGAAGCGGCATGGCAAGAGGAGTCATGCATATGATTTGGCACCAAGTGTCTGCCAAACTCTAAAGACCTACCCTATAGCAATGTCTATATACATCCCTTGTCAAATAAACAACATTTCACACAGTGGGCAGGTTAGCAGGGGCTAATAATGCTCATTTTAATCAGTGGGGTCTCCGAGCAGTGACTGGATATGATGGTGGATTTGGGAGAGCTGAGTTTGCTCAGTAGACAGACAGGGATGGGCTGTCTGTGATGGGGGAGGTGGGTTGAGGGGTATAAGATGGAAGAGGAGGCGAGGGGAAGACTGGAAAAGGAGGAGAGGATGGTGGATAGAAGGCGGGGCAGGCGAGAGTGAAGGGAGAAGCTGCAAATGTTGTCATCTGCGAGCTCAAGTCCCTCCAGATCCCTTCAGCTGGCAGGTCCAGTGTATTTCCCAAATACTGTCCACACTCACAAATAAAGTATGTAGCATTCCCCAAGCAGCTTCACACACAATCTGAGGTCCTTCCTAAATATTAGACCAGGGTTGGTGTGTAAAGGCATTACATGAAACTGGATTAGAAAAATGTAATTAAGACAGTATGACTGCAAAAGCAAAATTCCAAAGCATGTTTAAGAGGGCATTTAAAACCTATGATTAAAATAGTAGACTCAAGTGACTTCAAATTTGAAACTCTTTTAAACAAGATTGAGGGAAAGTAATCAGATTATAACATGTTTGTACATGATCACTGTTACAATTTGACAGCATTCTCTTGCCCTTTTGACCCACCTTCCTATCAAAATTGTGTCCATCCAGCCCAGTCAGAGTAGGGGAAATTACTTTATTGGGAAGGGGAAAAAAAGTTTTGAAATTATCCCATCAAAAAATGTGTAATTCAACAGCTTTTCATCATCACGCTTACCCTTTGTCATGGTGTCTGAATGCGTATTTGCAGGGGCAAAGACAGCATCTCCGTTGATAAGTGCAGGTTTTAGACACAGCAGGCTGTGTATTCAGGATGCCGTTATATATTCAGGTTGTGCTTATTTTCTGATGTTTTCAGGGATAGGTGCTGTATAGTCTGTGATGATTGCATGAAAAGTCACCAGTTTTGCCTGGCGGCTGTTGGGGAGGCTTCACCAGGAACGGTTAAATATTTAAACACTGCTGTGAGATCTCATTAAAAACGGCACATCAGCCCCCATGTGGCCCCTACAGCACTCCCTCACACACTCCCGAAAACCCAGTTAGAACTCAGTGGAGTGTGACAAAACAGTTATTGTCTATTTACTGTGGAGAACTTGTGATAAATCATCATATCCTGTCAAATAAGGCAGCTGGCAGTGGTGTTGACAAGTGGTAAGTCGTGAAGTCGTGGAAGAAAATGATTGAGATTCAGTTCTGTTATGACAGTTGCAAACAAGCGGAAATATGGCAAAAACAAAATAACATGACAACTAGACCAGACTAATATTTCCATAACACATGTATGAAAACAAGGCAGAGAACAAACTTTGGCTCTCTGGAGTCTTCTTGCCTTCTCACAAAATCTGGGCAATTAATTCCAACTCTATTGTTTGGGGCTTCCCTATTTTTAGCCTTGCTGCCCTCTCAAATAAATTGATTTCCTGTGGCGAACTTGGAATGTTCCTTGTGTGCCATGTTTTTTCCCCACTTCCAAATGCACAAATACCGTCCTTCTTCCCCCAGAGGAATAAATCAAAGGTTCTGCGCAGCTCTGCGCAGCTGTGTATGTGCATCTCTTTTTATACTTGAAAATGGTTTATTTTTGTTTCAGTTCCATTAATGCTTAGGCATGTCTCCTACTTCATCAGGCATCAGAAGACAGCTGAGAAGCTACTTTCTTGACAGGCAAGAGGCTGGCTGACTCTTAAAATACCTAAACCGACTGGCTCTCTCCCTCCCTCTCTCTGTCTCTGGTCTTACTGATTTGATCTCTCATGAGACTCAGAGGTCTGGTTTTTTGTGGTCCCTACCACAGAAATAATGGCTGGGTCAAAACAGACTAAGCTCTCAGATCGTAGGACGATATTTAAACACGCAGCACTACACATAAATAAAAGTAAAGCAACTTGAACCTGGAATCTTGTAACGGTGTCAGGGGAGCTACTGGTCTTTGATGAACACTACCAAAGACAGATGCATAGCGGTTGGGAGAAACTGTGCAGAGTGAGATGAAATTACAATGCACAGACTGACAAAGAAAGCGAGAATAATACTGAGGAATATGAATCATTAAGCAGAGCAAATGTTTGCTCAACTTCAGTGGGACAACTCTGTAAAAGTGCACCACAGACTATTATATGTAACATTTCTTTTTAATTATAATGCTGTTAACTCAGCGTACCAAATGCTTGCTTAAGTTGAGTGCGCATTGTGAATTCATGAGTGCATTTTCTAAAAACCAGATGACCAGGGATTTGGTAAGGCTTACGTTTCAGTTTCTGTTACCGACTGCCGTTGTTAGTGACTGCAGTGTGAGAAGTAAAGGATTGTAAATAAGGCCCTCGGGGTGTGAAAACAGAAACTGATAGAGTAGAGTAGAGAGACAGAGAGAGTGAGAGAGAGAGAAGAAGGGAGAGAGGCAGAGAGATACAAATGAGAGAAACATACCACTAGATCCCGGTCCCTTATCCTGACTAAGCCATCTGAATCCCTCTAAACCCATTTAGCTTGCTCACTCTATGGCTCTCCTGTGTGAGAGCCGAGGCATTTGCCTACTTTACAGTCTTCTCACTGCACCTTGGAAAATATTGAGTTTATAGCCACTCATCTCCATAATAAACACCATATATCCAGCAGCCTACAGGAAGGACTGCGAGCTAACAGGGGAGAAGGCTTCACACTGGCTTTACCTCCCAACTCTTTCCACAAGTTGCTCCTCTTGCCTTCTAAACAGATTTTAGCGAGCAGTCCTTAGGGGCTGATATAAAAGTAGAAATGTTTTCACAAGTCTCAGACCTACACACTTTGAAACACTTCCAATGCTGTCCTTCTCTGGTAAGAAAACTTTAATAGTAAAGCCTGTTGTTAACCT